CGCGGGGGATACACGCCCGCCGACCTCTCAGACTACAATGGCCACAGCCACTGCACCCGCTACCTGCGCACCGTGGAGAACCTGGTACGCCTGGCCGGGGTGGGGGTGGGGGAGGAGTTAGCTCACCCCTAACCCCCCCCTCGCGCCCCCACAGGTAGGGTTTGTTCACCCTTTTAGCACCGAGGAAGCTGGAGTGCAAGCACGCGGGATACACGCCCGCCGACCTCTCAGACTACAATGGCCACAGCCACTGCACCCGCTACCTGCGCACCGTGGAGAACCTGGTACGCCTGGCCGGGGTGGGGGTGGGGGAGGAGTTAGCTCACCCCTAACCCCCCCCTCGCGCCCCCACAGGTAGGGTTTGTTCACCCTTTTAGCACCGAGGAAGCTGGAGTGCAAGCACGCGAGGCCCCTTGCCTGGATCACACGGGGAGTAAGGGTCCCAGGCCACTTCCCCACATGACTTCTCAGCCGGGTCCACTGGTCATGGAGGAGGGGGCTGCGGGTGGAGGCAAAAAGGTCAAGAGAAGGAGGACCAGGGTCGCCCTGACAGGGGCGAAGGTTGGGAGAAGTCACAGGGCACGGACGAATGGCACAGTTGGGTTCCTTCAGCGGCCACCGCCCGCATGGATCGCTCATTTCCTTCTCGCCACCGTCCCCTGAGGTAGGGGTGTCAGTGTGCCCATTTCAGGGTAAACTGAGTCTCCGGGAGGCCCAAGCTCACACAGTACCAAATGGTGGAGCCCGGTGGCCGGGCCTAGAGCCACCTCTTGACCGCTCCACCGCATGTTCACTCAGTGAGCTGCTTTCGAGCTAGAAACCTGTGCTGGTCTTTTTAAATTCCCTTAGTCTGGTTACAGGGCCGAGAAGTGACCCACCGGGGCCTGAGCGCAGTGCGGCGGCCTCTGCGTCAGCCGGTGCAATGCCCGCTTTGGGACTTGAGGGAGGAAAGGGGGGAGGCCTCCCAGGTGCCATCACAAGGGCACTGACCAGCTCCCAGGGCAGCCTGGCACGGGAGGGGCTGCGGAGAGAAGGAGGTAGCCCCCGACCTGTGAGCACATGGGGCCACCCCGTCCTGGGGACGCGGGAGCACAGCAAGGCGCAGGGTCAGAGGTGACCCGGACCTGAGGAGGAATCTCCCCCGAAAGGGCCCCGCAGAGGGGAGCAGGTCAGCAGGCGGTGCTCCCTGTGCCAGGCACCTGAGCAGGGAAACACTGCGGCCTTTGGGCGCCAGAGGTGAATTCCCTCCGCTGAGAGTCTGGGTGGCAGAGCCCCACGTCGGCTCCGTGAGCACCGGGACCACTCCTCGCACCTGCCGCCGGCAGGCGCCTGCCCGGAGCTTCAGGCTGTAACCTCAGCCGGTCTCCGTGGGAAATGAATACTAACAGCTGATGCGTGTGGCACTTACTGGCCACCGGGCCCTGGCACTTCACTCACCTTTAAGTCATTTTCACAACCTAACGGGGCCAGCAGCACCGTTTCCCCATTTCCAGAGGAAGGAACGGCTAAAGGAGAGATAAGTGACTTGCCCAAAGCCAGCAGCTAGTGAGTGGAGGAGGCGACATTTGAAGGCCGCAGAGCCCGTGTCCCAAACCTGTTATCTGTGGGGCCAGGCCTGGCTCTCCCAGTGCCCACTGCTGTCAGCCACGGAAAGGGCATCTTCAGCTGCCCCGCTCAGGTCCTGTGGTTCCCCTTGGCTCCTGGGTAGGCAGCAGGGATGCCCCCTGAAGTGTGTGGGTGTGGGGCCGGGCCCCTCACTCAGGTGGGCCCAGTGAAGGAGGTGGCAGATCCCAGCCGCAGAGGATGCTGGCCCAGAAAAGGCCAACAGGCCCCAGAGCCCCTCATGACAGGCCAATGAGCGCGGCTGCAGAGCCGTTACCTGGCGCCGGCCTGCCTCCGCTCCCGGGGGGCCTGTGACACTTCTCAGGCAGGCGGGCCTGGGGCAGGGAGGCGCAGGCCTGGGCAGAAGCAGCGAGGGAGCGAGCAGGCTTGCGGGCAGCAGAGCAGCATGGGCAACGTAAGCAGGGCCCCCAGCCCAGCCCACACCCATGCCAGGAGGGGCAGGCCTGGGGCGGGGGTGGACAGTGGTGGGGGGTGGCTGGCTGGGTAGCCTCAGCTCCAGATGCCCAGGTAGCTCAGCTGGGCCACCCATGCCCCTCTCTTTCCCCGAGAGCCCTGCCTGGAGACAGGGACTGGTCGGGCCAAGACAGACAGGGCTTGCTGGCCGGGTAATGGGGGATCAGTCCTCCCTGCAAGCTGGGGGGCCTTGCACCCCTCCCCTGCCCCCAGCTGCTGCCAGCACTCTCACCAGCTGCAGAGCCTGGCCCTCCCCAAAGATGCACTGAAGCCCAGGCCCTCTGCCCATCGATGAGGAAGAAGGCTGCTGCCCTGTGGCTCGCCCCTGGGGGTGCACCCAGGGCCCCCCTCCCCTCAGCCTCTCAACCTTCCTGAGCAGGGAGGGGCCAGGAGTAGGAGTTTCCAGGAGCCCAGGTCCGGCTGCTGGGGGCGGGGCTTGAATCTTAGCCCAGAAAGGGCAGCCGCTTAGCCACGGTCACCCAGGGAGGGCTCTGAGCGGGGCCCTGCCCCAGAGCTCGCTGGCCTGGGGGCTGGCTGTGCTCACGGCCTCCGCTCCTCCGCTCAGAGCTTGGAGCACCGCGTGCTGTCGCGGGACCCGTCCGCCGAGCTCGAGACCAAGCAGCCCGACTCGGGCATGTCCTCGCCCAACACCACCGTGTCCGTCCAGCCACTGAACTTCGACCTCAGCTCGCCCACCAGCACCCTCTCCAACTACGACTCCTGCTCATCCAGCCAGTCCAGTATCAAGGGCCGGCGCCTCCCGCACGGTGAGTGGACTGATGGGAAGAGGGAGGAGGGGGAGCAGCCCTGGGCCACCTCTGCCCACAGCTGATACTGGAGGCTGCCCAGGCCACCAGGAGAGGATGCTGGTTCTGGTGAAAGATAGACACTCGTGTTTGTGTCTCCCCATCACAACATACATGTATATCCACACATTTGCACATGCACCTCGCACACGATATACTATCCTTACACATGCACACACTGTCCCCAGAACTTACACACTCAAGAGTGCACACTTGTGCCCTAGCTGGTTTGGCTCAGTGGCTAGAGCATCAGCCTTCGGACTGAAGGGCCGCCCGGGTTCGATTTTGGTCAAGGCCACGGGTTGCGGGCTTGCGGGCTTGGTCCCCAGTGGGGGGCATACAGGAGGCAGCTGATCAAAGACTCCCTCATCATTGATGTTTCCCTCTCTCTCCCTCTCCCTTCCTCTCTGAAATCAATAAAACATATTTTTTTAAATATATTTTATTGATTTTTTACAGAGAGGAAGGGAGAGAGATAGTTAGAAACATCGATGAGAGAGAAACATCCATCAGCTGCCTCCTGCACATCTCCTACTGGGGATATGCCCGCAACCAAGGTACATGCCCTTGACCGGAATCGAACCCGGGACCCTTCAGTCCGCAGGCTGACACTCTATCCACTGAGCCAAGCCGGTCTCGGCAAAACATATTTTTTTAAAACAGTGCACACTTGTACGTGTGTGCACACAATATACAGATATGAATGCACAACCACCTATTGAGCTGCACAGATATATACACACACCTACACTACACACAGGCACACAACTCTCCATTCTGTACCCTAACTGTGCTCACACACACCCCATGTCCACAGACTAACACAGCACATTCATAAATACCAAGCCTGTGTACTGACGCACCATCACACAACATGCACAGACACACAGAAGCCAGACCTGCACGCACACACGCTGACCAGGCCCCGAGCACGGGTCCCTCCACTTGACATGCCTGCTTCATGCCACCACGTGGTGGCTGCAGAGATGGCGGGCACCCTGAAAAGACTGGGTGTGGCATCCATGTTCCTGCCACCTGCCCGGCCGGATCTGCCTGGAAGGCAGCCCTACCCCCTCCAGGTGGCTCAGCCCAGGGGCACACCTGGAGCCCAAAGCCCCTGGGGCTCCCACCCCAAACCCGGGTGAGGTCGTGAGATGTGGTCTTTCCCCGACAGGTGCAGGCCTGCGGGAGGGCAGGGCCAGGGCCAGGGCGGGGCCACGCTGGGCGGCAACCCACTTGGCAAGTTGCTTATTGACAGTCGAGGGTCTCAGTCCTGCGCACAGCCTATCTGCCAGCTCGCAAGCCCAGCATTCCCCCTCCCCGCCTCCCCCTGCCAGGGCTTCCGAGAGCCAGAGCCGCAGAGATACAGAGCTACGTGGACATGCTGAGCCCGGAGCTGAGCCTGGCCCAGGGCAAGATGGAGAAAACCACACCGCCGCCGGCACCCAGCTTCCCGCCACCACCCCCGCCCCCAGACTCCCAGCTGCCCCCTCTCCCACTGGGCTACCCGGCCCCCAAGCCCCCCGCAGGGCTGCAGGCAGCTGACATCTACATGCAGACCAAGAGCAAGCTCCGCCATGTGGAGACCACGGGCTTCCGGAAGGAGGTAGTGAGCCTTCGCCCACCGCCTGCCTCTCAGCGTCCGGGCTGGTGGGGGTCATGGAGGCCAAGGACTGCCGGGCTCCTGGGCACCCGACAGGAGTCCCTGGGCCAGTGGCCTGTTCAAGAGTCCATATTCCTGGCAGCCCCGCGGGGGCTCAGGGCTGGGCACTGGGGAGAGGGAGATGGGTAAGACCAAGCCGCCGCCCTCTGCAGAGCTGGGGGGCAGAGAAGGGGCTAGAAATACACCCAGGCAGTGGGGCCCCTCGGGGGCTGGGTCCCGCCACCTCTCGCACAGAATGGCAGGATAGTCACGGAGTGGCATTCGGTCGGGGCTGAGGGAGGACTCAAGCACAGGCCCACCCGTTGGGGCTGGAGGTCCTGCAGGGAGGTGAGGTGAGTGAGGTGGCAGGCCAGGCCGGAGATGAGTCCTGGGGAGAAGGGGAGGAGTCCGTGTGGGCGTGTTGAGAGCCAGGTGCTGGGGAAGGCAGGGCCTCTGGGGTCCTGGCTGAGGCTCGGGAGTGGGGCTGGGGGTCAGAGGGCTAGGCTGCAGCTAGAGTCCGAGGCAGGGAGGCCCAGAGGGGCCCAGCCTACAGGCCCAGGGGACCCAGCACAGCTGCTCTGAGAGCAGGTGCAGGGGCGGCCTGAGCCCCCAGGTGGTGGAGTGTGGGGTGGAGGCCCCGACCTTGCAGTTAGTTCCCTCTCAAGCCCCAGGCAGGCCACTCCAGGGCGAGCTAAGTAACCAGTTCGCACAGGTGACCCAGTCACAAGGCCACTGGCGGGGAGCGGAGGCAGGGCCTGCACAGTGACTGCACCGCCCCTCTCGTGCCACCTCAGACCAAGCCCCAGTCGGTTCCCCTTTCATCCCCAGAAGATGCGGGCCCAGGACTTTCCTGACCGGGCTCGTGGGCCCTGCCCAAAGCCACAGGGCAGGTGCTGGCCTCTGCCCCCTCCCCTCCCTGAGCCAGAGCGCCCGGACCTCATCCGTTCCCCCTCCCGGCGTGTGCGTGCCAGGC